TTCACACATACATCCTGTGCAAACATGGGCGTCACCTCCATCTTATTTCCCGAAACCTCCTCTTTCCATGACGCTCCTTCTTCTCCATCCTTCCCCCTTCCACCTTATTCTCTGCTGGCCTCCCTAACACACACACACACACACACTCATATACAGACTACTACTTGTGCTCCGACGCAAACAGCAGCTCAAGTCTGACCACAGCTCTTCTTTATGTTACAAGTTCCCCTTTTCTTGCCTCATCCAGCCCAGGTTTACTGAAAAGTTGTTAAAATATTATTCCCCGTGTCCTTTTCACACTATATTTTCTTTTATGTTTATCTTACTCAACCGACACCAGCAGTAGTGGAAACGAACTCATTAAATTTTATAGTCTTCAAAGGACTATCTGTAACGTCAGCACAGCTATGGTTCGGTTTCAGGTGTCAAAAAATAGCACACAGAAACTTAACACACACACATCTAAGCATCCACACCCAGGGATGGAAAAGTGGAGTGGAAAACTGTGTCTAGCTGTGAGGTTGTGTAAGTTTCAAACAATGTCTGCCTTGAGAGGTCTTTTTCCAGTGGTGGGAAGATGCCTCTCAGCTGCTTCTTCTTCTTCTTCTTAGATGAAAAAAGGAAAAAATGCATTTCTTTGCGTTGTCTGTTTCCTGGTTTGATGCAGCTGTTCGTTGCCAGTAGATGGCAATGTTGATCTCACGCCCAAGTCATACCTGTGTGGTCCTCTTCTCTCAGCCTGTGCACTGCTTGTTTGTTTGTTTTTTCATTTAAACTGTAACCTGCTGCTGTTTTGCTTTGGTTCAAAAAGGTTCTGAATTTTATCTGCAGTCGGGGAATCATTAAGATAAGTCTGTGTGCATCCAGGAATTTGCACAATCGCAGGAAAAGAGATTTTTCCTGGTCTTTTTTTCAAGTCTATACGGGGTTCTGGGAACATGTGAAGGAAAGCTTTTGTCTCCAGCAGTGCAAACTTGTTACATTTGCACATACCTACATTGTTACAATGTTTCAGTTTATATCTAAGTGTTCCAAAACGTAGCCACATTCTCTCGGTTCTTCTTGATGAAGAAGAATCTCTTATAAGCACCATTTTATAGATTACTGCAGGTCATCTGTCTCTCCTTCCTCTAGACTGTTAAATTTAATTAAAAATTGAACATGCCGTGTCATTTTAAGCCTTTTAAGCGTTGTGTTTTTGTGTCTGTGTTTTGGGGGGCTCTTTGTGCGCTGTTACACTTGACAGACAGGTGTTTGGCTGGTCCAAATGGTGAAGTGCAGGATAGATAGAGACTCTCCCCTCCTAAGGAATGCAGGGAGGAGGAGTGCAGCGGGCAGCCAGGGCATGCTGTGACAACCTCCCACATGATCTAAACTCTTTCACTCTTTGCTTCTTCTTCTTGCTTTTAACTGTTATTAACACTTTTTCTCTTCTGTTTTCCCCCCTTGCGTCATTCTCTGCAGCTCAACCCTCTCACTTTATCACTCTCACTCATCTTAACTCCTTGCTCATTCTCATTTCCTAGTCCCCCCAATTTCATCCATTTCTCTCAGTTTCATTCTGAGTCATTTCTCACTGACATAATCCACGTAGCATCCATGTCGGTGATTTATAAGGATTTGGATACGAATCTGGAATTTCTCATCTCATGTCTGCTTCTTGCTAAAGTCCTGTCTTCCTTTAGCTTTAAACAAGAAAAAACCCCGTCCTCCTGTCTGTTACACTCTCTCTGCTTTCATAATGAAATCAACTCGGTGCCAAAGGTTTGCAGCAAAATGTCTGAACTCCAGACTAAGCTGACTTGTAACTCGCTTACAGATGCAGCAGCAATTGATCAGACAGGTAAAGTTCTTTGATGCCATTGCTGTTTTTAAATAGAGCATGAAGTTGGACCTCTATTATGTTTGTGCATGAAGTGCTCACATATACCTCCCAAACAAGAATGTCCAACTGAACTGTGAGCCAGAATCCAATGCTCTTGATCTCCTTCGGTTCAGTCTTAAAGGAACTCTTCTCTTTGTTTAACAAAGCTGTGTGTGCAGAAAGCGATGGCATGTCTTTGCTTGTAGCCCTTCCCCTACAGGAATGTAGAGCAAAGAAGAGATGAAGCAAAGGACAGAAGAGAGCATGTGTGCAAAGATTCAC